CAAGGGAGAAAAACGCCCAAAAGAGAAGCAATGAAAGCAAGAGTGTAGACAAAAAGGGAAGGGACGATAACAGCTAAGAGACAAGCAAAAAAGGGGAAAGAACCAAAAAAAAGAGAAAAAAGGGAACGGGGAAAGAAGAGGAAGTGAGAGAGAGAGAGAGATGGGTAAGGAAGGCAGTGACAAACAGATTAAGAGAGAGGGGCAGGAAGGGAGACAAGATACATCAAAGAAAAATGCCAGCCTCGTGCTGAAACCCCCCCCCCCCCTCCACTAGGAAAAGATGGTTATGGGGCAACAAAACATGTAGATGAAACAGAAGGGAAAAAAACCACACATACACACACAAATAGGTCAGGGCACCAGTGGACTTCGTTTTATTTCTAGTTTTCCAATTACAGAAAAAGGGGGGGGGGGGAAGTGGTGTAGAAGGCTTTGAGAGTGTAAGGGTGAGACAGAGGAGGTAAGAAAATAAAGTGGAAACTGAGACAGGTAGAGAAAGAAGGGAGAAAGAAATAAGATGAGATATAGAGGAAAGAAGGTAGCAGGAAGGGGTGCACCCCCGCCCCTAGGTGTCATCAATGTGGGAGGAGAAAAGGGGTGGGGGGTGTGACAGCAAATGTGTTTTTAAAAGTACACATATATTAAATATGTGTGTGTTGGAGGGAGGAGTGGTGAACATGAAATGTTCTGCACTAGGCAACACTTAACCTTCTACGCCAATTGAAGGTATGGAGAAAGAGAGAGAGAGTGGGGTGGGGGGGGGGGGGGGTGGGAGAGCGGCAAATACAAAGAGAAAGAGAGAGGAAGGCAGTGACAGACAGGCAGAGAGTGGGTAACAGGTAGGACAAAATGTGAGGGGGGCAGGAGGGGAGATGGACAGAGATTAAGGCCCCTAAGAAAACAAACACATCAAAAGAAAATATCCACCATGTTCACGCCTAACACCCCCCCCCCCACCATAACACAACTTCCTATGTACTTGAGTTATGGAGCCGCACATGTACTAAACATTTAAACAAGAAATAAAATAGGAAAAAAAAGGGGGGGGGGGGGGGGGACAGGACAGGAAATGAGAGAGTAAAAGGAAAGATAGAAAGAGAAGAAGATGAAGATCAGAGGGGAGGGTGAGAGACAATGCAGGAGATGGGAAGGAAGGTAGGTAGAAGAGTGAAAGAGGGAGGCAAGGGAGAGAAAAAGAGAGAGAGAGAGAGAGAGAGAGAGAGAGAGAGAGAGAGAGAGAGAGAGAGAGGGGGTGAGACAACAGAAGAGAAAATCTCTGGGAATTAAATACTGATCTCCAAACACACTGTCAAGATAAACCAGGCCAAAAATAGAACTGGGAAATCCAGCTGACATCACTTTGCTTAGCCCCACCATGGCCGACACTATAAATATAGACAGACCCAAGCCACAACATCTCCCAATGTAATCCTTTCTAGAAACCACGGCCATAAAGCTATTTATACTATTAATTCTGCCGGACTCGCTAGAAACAAAGGCACAAGCACACACTAGACGGCAGCTGCTCCTTTCCCGCACTATGCCACGCCACGTTGTCTGCATGTTTTCATGGGCTGCAACACAGCCCCCCTCCCCCCTGGCCTTTAACAAGCCATTTTGGCTGAAAATAGCCAATAATCAGCTGCCCTCATACCCGACCATAAACAAAAGCAGCCAAAACTAGCCAAATGGCCAACAAAAAAGCCAAATGGCCCCCAAAAAATAGCGTAACTGCTAAAGTTCACAGGATTTCTGACGCCCTCTTTACGGCGGTCAAAAAATCGTGGCTTCTTAAGGTCATAATGTATTTTTAAGGGGAAAATCAAAGTTCCTGGTAGGAAAGTCAATTTCACGTTCAAGATTTCCCGGTCCACTATGAACCCTGAGTTAAAGATTATTTCCCTAACAAACATTTTAATTAATATAATTATATTAAAAAGCAGTTTGGTGATACGGTAGGATCTAAAAAAAACCTACTGAGCTTTTACAATTGACATAGAATTTACAAAAGTAAAATAATGGTGGTGATGATAAAGTAAATGATGATGTGAAGTGAAAACTTACTTTATAAAACAAAAAAGACGGTATGCAGACATACACATTCTGCCAGAGGGAAGTAGAATAGTGTGTTTTTTATATTTTGCCAGAGGGAAGTAGAATAGTTGTGTTTTTTATATATTGCATGGTTAGTTGAGTATCCTGTATTGTGGAGCATCTAGGTCTGCCAACAGGAGCATTTGATACATTATAAATACGAAACGAACCAGGAAGACACCCAGACAATAAAATGAGAGAGAAGAAGAATATATGAGATGTGACAGGGAGGCCTCGCCATGTCTTTTAAGTTAGCCCACTAGAGTTAAGACACACTGGAGAGTATGCCTGAGACTTAACTCTTAAAGTTAACTAGGCTATACACAGTGATCTAAATAAATCATTTTCCATCAAACCCCAACAGTAGTAGACGAGTCTAAGGTCCATGAAGACGTTAGTAAGGGTTGTCTTCAAGAAATGAGTAAATGTCATCAGTAAATGTTGGATAAGTAAAAACGATGTGGAAAACATCTCCAGATCATGAATATTTTTAAATTCCAGTTGTGAGGAGGCAAATTAAATTGTACAAATTTTCTTTACAATATCATGCATGCTCTAAAGTAATGCTTATATAAATATGTGAAGATGAGAAAATAAAAAGGGTAACTGAATTAAGTGGATGGTAAAGTCATAAAAACCTCACTTAATGATTTCCTGGTAGGCAAATGGATACTGCCAACCAAGTACCAACCGTCGTAAATTTACAGGTGAGTGAACAATCTACAGTTAAAAAAAGACAATTGCCAAAAACACACAGCCGAGGGCACAATCTGAATGAAACAACCCTCACCTCCACTCGTTCCTTTTCAATCTGGCCCAGTCTCTCTAAAAATGCTTCAGGGTTTTCCTTCTGCAGCTCCTCTAATAGTTTCTTCTCAGCCATCACTTTTTCCTTTCGTACTGTTTTCCGATACCTGCGCAGTAGATCATAATTAAACTGGGCTATATGAAGGTAACCATAAAGCAAGACACCTTATCAGAGAGAAGCAGACAAAATGCACATTCTTAATAACTTCTTTAGTTTAAAAGTCATATATGATGCCCATATGGAGAACAAAATCAAAGCAGGTGCAGATTCCACAATGTATCTCCAACAATCATCCTGGTTGTACACACATTGGGACTGGTATTTGACCATTTCTTCAAGTTATCCTCTCCTTTGTATTGCTGTCCTTTGCACTTTTACCATCAACTTTTCCTTCCAGAATGGTTTTAATAGTCTTTCTTTTTAATGTCTTTCAATGTAGCTAAAATAGTGCATGTGAAGTTTCAAAAATTACTTTCTTCAACAGCACTTTCATCATTTGCAGTCCTGTTTTATTACCCCTGAAATAAGACACATCCTTCTGTATATTCACATCTCAAGGGCCTTAATTCTTTTAACCCAGAAAAAAACAAAGAAAACTGCAAAATACTTTTTGGGAATTTCAGGAATTCTTGGACGAAAAATGGCTTTAAAAAAATATTTTATGCAGATCAGAGAAAAGATCCTAACAATTCAATTTATGGACCAAAACAATATTTAACTGCACATAGAATACTGGGAGTAAACAATAAACATAAATGCAGCAGCGCTCTTCACCATTGTCCTCTCAACAATATCCCTGCAGCGTACACATAATCTCGCACTTCCAGATAGCTCATTAAAACTTTTAAGAAGTCTCTCATTTCAGCTGGCAAACACAAACTGAATGCAATATGCTTTATTTTGTGAGATAATCTCAGAAAAGCCAATAAACACACATGCCTGTGCAAGTTGTGCATTGAAGATCAACACCCATACAAGCTCAAGAAGCACAGTGATCTGGTAGCTAGTCTGATGAGTGATGAGGGGTACATAGTAAGACTCTTCACCTTCAAGGGCTAGAAGCCAACTCCGTCCATAATGTCCTGAAACAGGTGGGCCTGCGAGGAAATGAGCGTAACTGGGCACTGAGGCAACTCAGCAAAGCTGCAGAGACAGCTTCAAGCTGGCTCAAAGAGTAACCAGAACAATGTGTGGGATAGGCCTCGGTACACTCGTTTAAGTCTCTACTCGGGAAACAACTTTCAAGCCTCTCAAGCCGACATTATCTAATTATAACATTCCCATGCAATTCCTGCTAAAAAAGCAACGAACCGCCTATTGGTCACTATGGCTGGTGTAAGTTGACCATTAATTTGCTGCTAAACACTGGCAATAAACACCATAACCTTAGTACCATGTTTCATCTCGTCTAGTTAGCACAGCAGCATAAGTCTGAGAGTCATTCACCCCCCCCCCCCCACCTCCAAAGAATGGTCTAGAAGGTAAACAGACAAACAATTGTCAACAGGGGGTTCAAACTGAGGATCATTAGGCTCTTGCTGTGCACACTCGCTGTGGAATTCTTTATGTGCATCTTTAGACGTTACTGAATCACAAGAACAAACATTTTGTTTCGCTAATATATTAATAATTACAGCAAACAAACCCGCTCACCTTTTGCTCTTGATTTTATTCTGCCATTTTGCTTTAAGTTCTACCCTTGACAGGAGCTCATGGTGTCTCAGTAATTCAGCACGACGTTGTTTAGCCTAGAAAGAATACAATCTCTACATCTCCATACAAGTTCACTGACATGTATTGTACCTTTCCCTTTGTATAGCCCCTGCTGTATGGCAATGGTCATCTTGTTTGTTGACAGCTTCCTGCACATGTTGTCAGTGTGTGTTTTTTTAAAATATATATGATGCTCTGTATTACAGTTTCAATTTACCCACTATTTCTCTCTGGGCCTTCTAATTCCAGCATCCATGGGTTATGAATGCAGTTTTGTAATTCCATCATATCTGATTTAATTCAGCCGCAGGGAACTGATTTTGGCAAAGCTATCAGCGTCGATTATTGTGAAAGCGACGGCAAACTACGGAACATAAAACTGAAAGGTAAAAAACTACACTATCGCCACATATTATGGTGGCCAAAAACACACCCTGACAGGGCCTCATTAGGTAAACATTCAAAAACTTGAACTTGAAAATTATTGAGGAACGAAAAAAAGGAAAAAAAATGACGAAATCAACTATTTAGCGATAACTGAGACCTTTATATCTTAAAATAGTGGCAGAGAATTTGCAAAAAGTTCTAGAAAATCTGCTCTTTGTGGCTGTGACACCATTAAAACTCGGCTAAATATGATAGGTGCCGCATTAGTAATGCAGTTTTCACCGCCGAGAGTATCTCCTGCGCAGCGCGGATAGGGAGCGAAACTAGATGACTGGGACTCACGAGCAAATAAATTGGAGGAAGTTGCAGGAGATGCGGTAGCTGCTGCTCATGAGTCCTAGCCATCTAGTTTAGCCCCCACATCAGCGCCGCGCGTAGCGGCGGATACGCTCTGTTTATTGTTGCGTTTCTCCAAATTGTCAACGGGCAGTAATCCTAGTTTTGCTGCAATGTGTTTGTCGGAGAAAGTCCGCAATTTACATGTGATTGAGGCCCTGTAAGGGTGTGTTTTTGGCCGCCATATTATGTGGCCGTTATTCAGAGGATAGCCAAAGCGGAGTGGAGTCCTGCAGAGGGATTGCAACAAACTGTTAAATTCTGATTTCTCTGCTCCCAAACTTTCTCTTGTCAGGGTTTTCTTATTAACCCCTTCTGAAGATGTGCCTAAAGAAGTAGGCTAGCCTACTTGACTGCAAGTTTGTTTCATTAAAGATTGTTTCCCTGTGTGGGTTCCGGGGTCGAGAGAACAAAATAGACCCACTGCACCCCTAATTAGAATGTCATAGAAGGCAACTAATTGCAGTGTTGTCTTCAAAGTCAGAGTGCATCTACCTGAAAGACAACAAGCAAACAGTCTGCATACAAAAAAGCCATATCTGTAGAATAGATGTGCACGCAAAACTCAAGTTCTGAAACAAGATCAATGTCCAGAAAGTGGGCTAACAGCCAGAACTTTCCGCTGGGGATTAAAGCCAGGGAATACTGAGAAGAAGAATATAAACATAATAATACTTTTCATCTAAACAATGTCTTCAGCAGTCTAATGCTAAACTACATCTCTGCAACATTAAAGTAAATGCTAACTAGGGAGAGTTAGATATCCAGTAAAAGACAGAAGATGTTCAGGTTGGTAAAGGACTTGAAGATTTAGAAAGAAAAAAATCTGAGGGGTTGGGGGATCTTAAACTGCACAAATAAATTACCTCCTTGACAGACATAACATTTAAAGCTCTTTGCTCAGCTGTCGTCAGTTCTTGATTTGGGTGAATGATGTCTTCGCTTTTCCCCAAAGCTTCGTAAATTTCTTTTTCTAATGCTGTCCGAGGCTGTGGATATAGAATTTTTATTCATAAATCAACAGAAGAGTGGATTCTACTGTTAGTGACATTTCTTACTGCAGTTTCTTAGCTTAATATAAAACATGTTTTCTGTCCATTATCTATTGTGGGGGCAGGGGGCAAAGTTTTTTAGTTTAAAGTTATAGCACCTGCCTCTAACACAAAAAGAAACAGGTTCAGATCTCACCGTGGACAATTTCCACAGTCAAGAATAAAAGAATGTTATAAGTACAGTGAAGCCCCTCTTTAACATGCCATGAGGTATGTGTATAAGCTTCTAACTCCATGTTTTATTAGAAACTGGTAGATGTGGTATGGTCAACATTCTTCAAACACACCATCAAAAGATACAAACTTTGGCAGCTTTAGACAAATTAATTGGACCGCTGGTAGCTAACCATTCCGCAGAAAGAAACTAAGCCATATAGGTAGAATTATAATAATACTCTTAACCTTTCATCTTTGACATGTATATACTATAAACCGTTTCACCAGGTACCAACTTATAAACTGTTTCACCAGGTACCAACTTTGCAAACATTATGCAGTAGGCAAGTGTGAATGGGTTTTCAAATCCTAATAGATTTCCCCTTCTGCCTTTTATTTCCCATAGGCTCTCAACCAAAAAAGATTACAAATTTGTTATTTGTCAGACACAATCAAAGACTCAACAATGCACAATATTGTACAATAGCTACACAATTACATATCACTTACTGTGAACGGTTGTGACTGGACAGCTTCATACATTTTGATACCATGTGGCCGTTTTGAGAAAACAGTCTGTGTAGCCTGTCATAGAAACAAATATTGCAATACCACATCTGTTGGAGAAATGCTTGCTTTACAAGCTCAACAAACTTTTAAGTTGTCTGAAACACTTCACATTACATTAAACAACTGTCATCATCATGTAGCAGGTTGTCAGCAGAACGTCGCTCTCATCACAGTCTGCCTGAAAGAAACTCAGTCTCTCGCCAGTTCTCCTGCCTCATGTGCTTTCATACTCCAGGAGCCACTTATATCCTGTGCCCATCTTGGTGTTGGTTGGCCCTTGGCACCCCTTCCTGGTACCATGCCTTCTGCTATTTTTTTTTTTTCAGTCCGTCGAGGCGCTTGAAATTATCAAAATATTTCAGCTTCAGAGAGAAGATGCTGTTTATTAGCTAATCTTCCTTAGGGTTAAGATCTTTCAAGATGTCAGTATTTCTCCTCTTCTTTGTCCAAGATATTTTAAGAAATCTTTCTATAGCATTTCAGCTCAAAAGTTTCTATTTTCTTTCTTAAGGACTGAAACAACTGTACTGAGGCCAATTTAAAACGATGCTACAAAAAAATTTAATCAACTTGAACCAAAAAAAAAAAAAAAAAAAGTTGCTCTGGGTGCTTGCCAGTTGTCCCAAACATCACAGGTCGGGATTTGCAGTTGAACTTTAAAAACCCCGGTTTAAAATCAGCCCCAGGGAATGTGCTTGGGATGTGAGGATGGGCCTCTATGGTGTCGACACTATATATTGATTTCTGGTTGGTTTTTATAAGGCTAGCTTTAACAATGTGTCTACCTTTGAAAAATTTCATTATTATTTTGTTTTTCAATCTTCCTTTGCTTGCTTGAAATAGATGATGTATTTCTGCAATGTTGCTATCACGAACATCACTGTCTTTTATAATTCACTCAGCGACCTGTAAAGTTTGGCTTCAACCAGTGTTTCTTCTGATTAGAAGTTTTGCCTTTATATGTTGTATTTGGGACAGTCTTGGAGGACGTGATCTGTTGTCTAAGGTGCTAATCCATATGTGGCTGCAAAGTCGACTGTGCCCTGTTCTAAGACGTAGAATAATGACTTGTTCTGGTCTGCCCGTAACACAGTTATCACCTTGTACCAATTGTGGTGGCCTTTTTTATTGATTTGATTATTCTTTTTTTCATGTGCACCTTTCTTCATTTCCGGAGACTCCACAGTGGAATGAACAGTATCCACTGTATAGTTACCTTACATTAGTTGTCTAGTTTTTTTTGTAGAATAGTGTCTGACTGGCTGGAGTATCAATCTTGCATCTGTCAGGAATACTACAGATTGCAAAATATGACTGGCAATTATAAATTTCTCTGCTGCTATCTTGACCTTTTGCATCATAGTTGTGACAGTGCTTTCCTATTGGTATTTTAGCTGTGTATCTGGTGTTATTTGTATGCTCAATGTACACCCCTGCTCCTTGGTTCTGCTTGCACTTTGTGCTGTCCCATCTGGGTAGGTACGAACCTTAAGATCATGTGAGTATTCATCATCAAGTAGACAGTAGGTGGCTGTTGTACGCTAAAACACTTTTGTTTTTTCTTACCAAATATTCCTCTCACTTCCTTCTAGATGCGCATTGGCAACTTAGATTCCTCTCTCCAGTAGGGTCTGGAATAGCATTTAAGAGGCTATCAGTTGCAGGCAGACCAGTGGTTTGCCTGCAGAGTTGTTGGGTCTGGTGGATGAAACTGCTTATTTTTAGTCACCCCACTGCTAGCTTTCAGAATCTTTCTTTCACAGGGTGTCCAGGCATGCTAAGAAACTTTTCTGCTTATATCGGTATCTTTTCAATCTAATTAGCATGATTATACCACACAAGAATTAATATCTGGGGAAAATTTATATATATATAATATTTAGACACAAAGAAAAGACACCGGGATTGGGAAAAAAGAGAGAAAACCTGGTAACAATATTACCATGTTCTTGCAAGGAACCTACACGTCTAAAGAAATAGAGAAAGCCCCCTCCCCCCCCCCCCCATAAGCAGAATAAGAGAATGAGTGATAACAGATAGGATAACATGATGTGAGCTGCGTGAGGAAAGAACAGGATGATTTGTCTGTATAGTCGAAAACCTATTTCATATCTCAAAAAGCGGTTCTTAGAAATAAATAATGACTTACAGCGCTGATTCCAATGAGGACATTAGAAATAATGATGTACAGCTCTGATTGCGCTGACATTAAACGTAATAACTTACAGCTCTGATCTCATGAACAACAGGATCCCACTTTGACATTTCAGAAGCCAAGGTGTCTCTGGCCACCTGCCGCTGTGCCTGTGACACAAAAGCAATTACATTTTAAATACATATAGTTTTAACAAAGCTGCACGCTCTCTAGCACTCAGGGGGAGGGGGTCCTTTAAGACTAAGAGGTTAACCAATTCACCAATGATTTAGAAGGTCGCGGGTTCACTTCTGAACCACATCATTCAGTTCAAGAGTGCACATTTTATGGAGACCCATAAGGGATGGTTGCTGCAGCTACAGAATAAGTGCTCAGAGTGGCGCGTGTCCGGCAGCTGCCTATTCTGCTGAGACTGCCTGCACCGTACGGCATACAACTTTGGTGCAATCAAGTAGCTTCCCTTGACTTTCAACAATTTATCTGGGATGCCGATATATTTCACTCCATTCTGTACCAACCTGGAGAAATAAATAAGCTTGCAAACATTATACACTGTGCTGCCAACAGTGCACATGTAATGTAGTGGGCCAACATGCCTCTCTGCTTTCTACCAACATGATACAGTCAATAAGTCTATTCTCTGCTGTAGGTTACTACTTTAGTTTCTGACACTTACACATAATAGTATGCATCAGCATCATGTAGCAGGTCCTTTGCAGAATATCACTCTTATTATGGTTCGCATGAAAGGAACTCTTGCAAGGTCTCCTCTCTTGTGCAGTTTCATATCCAAGGAGTCACTCATATTCTGTGCCCATCTTCATGTTGGTCAGCCCCTGCCCCTCCTTCCTGGTACCATGCCTTCTGATGTTGTTTTTTTCCTATCCGCTGTGGTGCATGATATTGTCAAGATATTTCAACTTCTGAGATAAGATGTTATTTATTAACCAATCTTCCTTGATGTTCAGATCTTTTAGTTTCTCAGAAACTTTCTAAGGCATTTTAATTCAAAAGCCCCTATTTTCTTCTTCAAGGACTTCTTCAACTAAGGTCATCCTCCTTTTCCCCTTTGTTGAACAGCCTCCCCCGCTGTTTACTTACGAGCCTAGACATTCAAAGTTTGTCACAGCCAGTTTTGTCTGTGGAAATTTTTGTTTTCTTTAAATTCAAGAACAGGTTTTGATCTTAGAACAGTATGCATAGATATTTTAATTAACATAAGTAACCTTCTATGCTGACAAATTAAAATATTTACAAGAAAAAAAAAATATGGACAGCAATCTAAATATAGATTTCCAAGAAGGCAGGAAACTGAAGAGTGAGCTTCAGTGAAACACCAATACCACAAAATGCCAAGGAGCTGAAAAGTAAGTAGGTGTTACATAAATAACTGCAAAACAGAGGACTTATGACAATAATACATCGCACCTGGGACCTACATTGTGCTTATGTTAAGTGAGCATTCTGCTTTAGTGAGTTCGTGTAAACTAGGTTTTTCTCTATAATACTCTATTACTTACCTGTTTCAAACCATGTACTGTTTTCTAGGATATTACCTTTATCGTTAAGCATTAATCTTGACTAGACCCTTACCAGCTGATCCGAAGGTAATGGGTTTAAATCCAAATGGAGTCAGACTTTTAACAAGAAAAAGACCTTGACTCCCAGGTCGACCCTGCTATGAGTGGGCACCAGGGAAAAGTCCTGGGAAGTAAAGATGGCCAGCCAGATATTTGCCACCGCACACATTTAATGCAGGCTGGTCTATAAAATATGAGCCCAGTAGGCTTGAAGATGTGAAAAAGGTCCATTAATTTTTACTTAATTTATCCTGAAGGTAGGCATTTTGTAACATTAGCTTAAAATATTCATGCTTTCTGTCCGGCTCTCTAGCCCAGTTGGCTAAACCGGACTGCGCGGAGACGGGGTGACAAACTCCTTGTGGTCCGGGTTCAATCCCAGAGGGTAGGCAGGAAAGCCACATTTCCTCCCAGATTTACGGTATTTACAATGGAATCAAGGCCGAAGGGTTGCGATATCCATAATACCGAGCCTAAGGGTTAACAACTCATGGCTTCTGGATACTAAAACAAATGAATGCTTTCTGTGACTATTTGTAGTGAATGGTGCAAATTCATTTCTTTCTCGATATACCATGATCCTTTGTTTGGCATGACACGCTAGTTAACGTGGCTAATGTTTATCTCAATGTGGTGAAATTAGAGGTAGTATCAAAGCAGTCACTGCCACTGGAGTGGGAACAGTTTGATCATATTCAAGGCTACAACATAATACAAACTAAGTGGCTAGATCCATTCTTCATCACCTTCCTTCAGACAAAACCAGAAAACGTGTACCAATTTTACAGGCCTTGTCACCCCCCCCCCCCCCCCCCTCCAACAACTTTTATACAAATTAACCTAACTCCACTAGGATTAAACGCAAACCACCAATCTTGGGTAGCAAATAGATAAAACACAATGTAACCAGTGCTTTTTCCTTTAGGCATATAGGGCTAGCCCTATATTTATAGACCAACGGCACAAGATGGGTGATGTGGTCAGCATCACGCCAGCCGCCTGTACTTCCCGGGACCCACTCAAGGCAGGGTCGACCTGGGAGCCAAGGTCATTTTTGAAGAAAAGTCCAGCTCCACCAGGGAGCGAACGCACTACATTCCGATTCGAGGCGCTTGTCTAGCCGCTCTGCCACGGCGACTCCTAGCGCTTTTTACCAGGGTACTATTTATTTTCAGCAGACTTTATGCTGCAGGATTTTAACTCATGACTTCCCTGTGTGGGTTCTGGGGCCCAACTGTGGGGAAAACAAGAACAGACACACTGCCTACCCAACAAGCATGTTGTAAGAATCCACTATATTTGTGGGATTCCTTGGCAATCAGAGAAACCAGCAGTCTGCATACAACTAAGTCAGATCTGTAAAAAGGATGTGAATGCAACACTCAGGATCTGGAACAAGACTAGATGTGGACGAACAACCAGAACCTTCTGCTGGAGTTTACAGCCAGTCAATACAAAGAAGAACTAGTGGTTTATAAAACAGACAGCACTCGTAAGTTTGAGAGCTGGACTAAGAAACATGTCAAATAGAGAATCCAAGTAAAGAGAGTCTTACTGGATAAACAGATTAACCTCTTCTCTAACTCACACAAACTAACCTTTTCAGTCTCAAAACCACTTCTGGGCTTCTTCAGCTGACTTTGTCTTTTGCTTTGCTTCAGATTCAAGTCCCTAAGTTGTATTTTAGAGGTGCCTCCTTTAATATAAACAAATTTAGAAATAGTCAAATAATAAGAAACAACTGTGTGCCTTTCATTAATGGCACTGAAATTTTCTTAGATTATTATTGTGTGGTCATCATTTGTAGGCGGCAAAGTTGTATTCTCAGCACGCCTCAACCCCTTCAGTCCATAAAGCCACAAAATCAACACTTCTGGTTTGTACTAGTCCTATAAAAGTCACTTTTCTGGCTTGGATATAGTGGCCTGTTTAGAAGATACCTAGCTAACAGCATTGTCATCATTCACGCATTTACTAGGACAGAGTAACCATATTTACTAACAACAACATTAAGAGGGCACCTCATGTGGAAAAATTATAAAGGCACAATTTTCTCACAGGTCAGCATTAACCGGGGTAAAACATGAGATACAGGAAATATGTATAATTAGGCTCATTGAGAAGTTGTTTCTGTGTTGCATTCATCTTTACTGACTTCCTGCGTGGAATTTAATACTGTTTTCATTGATAAATTGAACTGTCATTGAAAATTCCCTGATTGGCATTGTTTTTGCTAGGTCAACGGGGCAAACAGGTTAAGTTTCCAATGACTATTCTGCAAGATGCACTCTCTGATATCTACTTTTCTGGCACAGATGTAACATCTGTCTCAAGCTAGAACCAGTCACAGGGTTCGTAGCCAACTTCACAAACTCTTTTCAAGAATTTCTCGAAGGTTAATTTTCTTAGCTGCGTCAGGCAAGAACAGTGCATCTTTTTGCAAGCTTGCACCGATAAACACACATATATAGTAAGCTGACATACACATGCATAAATGTACACAGACATATAATATTCTAGACCAGACTATAGAATGAGCAACAAAGAGTTGTTTACTGAAGAAATAATGTGTGGCCCATTCTTCAATATCAATACTGATAAATAAATAAATGATGAAGTCACTGGGGCAGCGTTTATTAGAAAGGGGTGAGGGGTGTAGTGGAGACGAAACAAATGTTAACATGTTGAGAATTAAACATTTCAAAATAACTTAGAAAAGACAGTTGAGGGGCAGTAAAGTGGGTTTACAAGAGAGAGGGACAGAGACAGAGAGAGAGAGAAAGAAGGAGAAATATGAAAACAGCAGAGGGGTAAAAGAATAGGAGGCATTGAGAGAAAAAGGATACAGAGAGGAGAAGGGTAAGAATAAGGACAGGAAGAAGACAGATGAGAGGGGAGGGGAGGAGAGGAAATACGAACAGGGGACAGGGAAGAGAGCAAAATGAATACATAAAATGGAGGCAGGAAGAGGAAAGGGGGTGAAAGAGAGAAAAGAGATGGAGAGGAAAGTAGAATAGCTAGAGAGAGAGGAAAAAATATGGGGGACACAGATGGGAAAAAAGTAAAAGAGAGAGAGAGAGAGAGAGATAAGAGAGAATGGAAGACAGCAAGGAAAGAAAGATGGAAGTATGGATATACAGTGAGATAGAAAGAAGGAAAGCAGACAGACATAGATAATTAGATACAGTACTGACATACAGAAAGAGAACGGTGATAATTAAATACATTATATTTTATAAGCCATGCCAAAAGCAGAATGACAAAATCCAACTGATATTGTTGTTCCCCACCTTTCCCCAGTGCAAAATCATAAACATTACTTGGTGAAATTATTTGACGTGTCTTAAATGAGGGCAGCCAAAAAGTAGGTCAAATCCCCTGCTTCCAATGATCTCTCCTTTACTGTCATTTTCCTAATAAAATAAATTTCCATGTTCTTTCTCTCTCTCGTTCTTCTACATACCTCCCTATTGTCTTATCTTGTCTCTCTATCACCCCTTTCCTCTCCCTCCCTTCACTCTATATATCCACCTTACTCTCCCTTGTTTGAAAGTTTCATGGGTTTTCTCTGGTTTCAACTCCCAACAAGAACCCTGCAATTAATTCTAGGCAGGCAAAAGATGTACTTACTTGCATGCACAAAAAGGTCCACACTACTGCATGTGGAAGAAAGACCCCGTATAACATTTGTATTTCTGGAGAAATAAAAAAAAAACAGTTAAAAATAGCTAGAAAACCTAGGTGCCAAATATATGGAAAGACACAACTTTATATCTGGTAATATGTTGATGTAATGATCAGTATTGACTTGGATACAAGACAACTTGGTGACAAACTTAAAGATTTTGTATAATGTCAGCAAGCATAATGGGTATATGGTGTTATGCCCATATTCTGAAACCAACTAGCTTTCAATGGAGGGGACATGCAATGCTTTTCCTGCTGTGGTTTAAAATAGAAAAAAAAAGACATATATATATAATTGATTGCCTAGCATAATCTGCTACATTGTGAGGTGCTGTAAATACCAAACTGACAAGTCTGTATCACGCCGGCTGCCTTTACTGTCCAGGACTGCACCTGGTACTCACTCAAGGCTGAGTCGACCTGGAAGCCAAGGTCATTTTTGAAAAAAATTCATCCTTTGCCAGGAACCGAACCTACGACCTTCAGATCTGCAAAGCGGGCGTCTAACCGCCAATGCCACGGTGACTTCCCTTGTTAGGTGTGGGGCACGGGGGGTATTTGAAAAAAGACCCACTGTCCCCCTACCAATCATGTTGTAACTATTAGTGTTTTCTCTGAGCCAACATGCATCTGCCTGCAAGGGGAGGAACCAATAGTCTGCATACAAATAAGCCAGATCTATAACCTAGATGTGCCCACAAAACTCAAATTCTGGAACAAGACCAGCCCAGAAGTGGATCAACAGCCACAACTGTCCGCTGGAGTTTACAGCAGGTTAACTCTAATAAGAAACAAATGGCAGAAGTTACTTTACATCAAATTAAAATGGCATCATTTCAATGCACTCGGTAGTGCGAACAGTTGATTATAACAGAAAGCTCAGATTTATGTGATCACAGTGCATTCCCTTTGAACCTGAAAAATATTCATGTAAATTGTGGCACATAACTAGTCTAAGTCGGTGATTCCCAAACTGTGCACGGGGCGCCCCGGAGAGCTGCGACCTCTTCACAGGGACTTCATAATTAATTTAACCAAGACACGAACTCATACTTTTACTTAGGAAAGTTTAGGAAACACTGGTCTAAGTATCAGTTAAAGACCCTTCTGACACCACTGGTTCAACAAGCATATGGTGCTAGACTTATATTTCTACAGACCCATCAGCACTCAATAGATGACGTGATCAACATCCCTCCAGCCCACTTTCCTTTCCTGAATATATTCTGGTATAGGTTTATGGTTGGATTGACTTAGGAGCCCAGATCAATTATAATAAAATCTATGTGTATTTGGGCTCAAGACATCCAAGCTAGTGCAAAGCCACTTCAATACCACAGCTTCCTCTAGTCTCCATGCTTCAATTAAACGATCTTGACTGATCATTACAATGCGCACTAACATTAACGGCCAGACACATTAATTATTTGCATCTACATTTATACAACGGCTAATAATCATTACTATAATGGTTATGTTCTCACTTTTAAGGCTTCTTTATGTTTCCCAGCCTATGCTTATATTGACAACAAAATTAAAAAATAACACATTACAGATTTGAACTTATTGATAACAACATTAAAGATTATTAAAACATAAATTTAAAAGCAGTTTCGTCATTTATTAAACCAAGGTGTATACCATTTTCCCAGAATGTTTTCACACATATGTGACCAATTGTCTGTTTCTGGATTTCTCCCATTTTCACTTAGAACAGCTCCTTCCAATTTTTTACATTACATATCTGATCTCCTGTTCAGAGGCTGTGACATACTGTTTCTTCCAATATGCACTTATAATTATTCATATCTTTCAAAGCGCCCAGCACTTTCAGTATCACAGCATGTATTTCAACTTGTCCTATTCTAAAGATTGACTTATACTAACTAATGCTTGGCTCTGAAGAGTTAAAATAACACCAGGAAATAGCTGAAGAAGTAAACTGGGGCAGTTGTGCGGCTAACAAATGGTTGGGTCACAGGAAGTTCAGAAAAGTATATAGTATATCACATCAGCTGAATCCAGTAAACATAAGCTGAGTTGTTTGGTACTGAATGAGTTAAATAATTAAAGAAAATCTGCAGTGCTCATAATGATACACTTTAAGGAGAATCTGTCACCTTTTTCGCCCATTAAGTGCAAATACCGCATTTAGCAATTGTTCATGCTTTACGTCATCTATCTCTGCCTCATCAGCAAAAGTCTCCTGAGGACAAATAAATTAAATATTACACCAGTTATATAAATTTAATAACAAGCAATCTTATTTATTACAGACGCTGGGGTGTTAACAAAAATGAAATAGGATGGGAGTTGGGGGGGGGGGGGGGGGGTGGGGGGGTGGGAAACATGGTGTCAACTCAGCTAAACCACCCCTGCCTTAGCTAAAGCACCACTGCCTCAGCTAAACCACCCCTGCCTCAGCTAAACAACCACTGCATTAGCAAAACCACCCCTGCCTCAGCTAAACCACCCCTGCCTTAGCAAAACCACCCCTGCCTCAGCTAAACCACCACTGCCACATGGAAACTGCTTGATGCAGAACATTTTTTTTTTACAAAGATAGTTCTACATAAATTTCTAAAAAAAAGCATTGATTAGGAATATTCCAGCAAGATGGAGGATTAACCCACAGGTCAATTTCTGAATCCATAATAATCTGTCACCTGCTAATGTTATTTTTTGATTTTCTGTTGACCATAATTTCCAAACTTAAATAGAGTACCATATTATAAATTTATAAATAAATATCTTGATTTGGAGACCTGAATCACAAATATAGTGATAATGATAAACAGTTGCTAAGGTATATGAAAAGTAATGTCTCGAAATAGAGTAAGCGAATCCCTCATTGAAGTTTCCAAAAGCTTATACTTATACAGAGATTGTAGAAGCGTAGTTAGAATAAATTTGGGAACATGTAAACTATTTAAAGTAACATCTAGAGTAAGACTGGCATGTGTCTTACACCACTCCTGTTTATCACCTACATTGACAGTATAAGCAAAGATGCCATGAAAATAATAGCAACATTAACGAATTAATCTTTGCTGATGATCAGGCCTTGATTGCAGATACAGCCATGAATTAACAATATCTCTCATCCATGAATGAAGAATAAAAATCAAATAATATGAGAATAAACACTGAAATGACAGAAGTAATGTCAGTAAAGAGAAAGAAGCAAAATTTAAATATAGCATTAGAGAACACATATATTAAACAGGTTTCTGAGTTAAACTATCTTGGACAACAGTCAATGAAGATGGTAAACTGGATGAAGAAATCAACATTCAATGCAGTAAAGCAGGCCAAGTATTGGAACAGCTGAGCTAGCCCCACTCTTACAGTATAAAGTAATCTTAATCAGCACACAAGTAACATCTTATACAAAGCATATTCATTCTCACCCTATGCTACCAGTGCCAGACGTGGTCACACACAACAAAACATAAAAGGAAATTAGTAACCATGGAAATGAGGTGTCTGAGAAAGATGAAAGACTGTAGGTGACCAGAAGAGATCAAATCAGCAATGCCTCAATGAGCAATGAGGTCGTAGGAGATAGTCGGCAGAGAACCAATTCTAAATTACAAATGGTTTGCCCACTTGGAGAGAATGCCTTCTGATGATTGATATTATAACCAAAAAGAGGAGAGGGATGTAGAGCAAGAGGTAGACCAAGAACAAGATATCAGAGTAACCCTACAGCGCCACAATGTGTCTATGGTCAAGGCGGTCAGAAGAGCCAGAAGCAGAACCTTAAATCTCTCTTGACACCCGAAGCGATAAAAGAGCACTACTAAAGAGTAAGAAGTAAGAAGAAGAAATATGTTAAGAAGCAGCCAGAGGGCCTGGCCGGCTCAATACACTCAGAGGAAAGGCAAGATGACATAACTAGATTGTGACTGGTACCATCATTACTGGAACTCTGTGCTGGCTGCTGAAGATGAGGACACAGTATGCCTGGGAATGCCCAGAGTGCTGTGACTGTGATGTCAATGTTTGACTCGACTCAAGCAACAACAGCAAATTTTAAAACATCTGAACGACAGTCAAAGTGCTGCACTTGGTGCCGAAGCGAAACAGTATTTGGCTATCCTCCGAATATTTTATTATTTTATATTCTATTTTATTAAGGCGGAAAATATACCCTAACAGGGCCTCAGTCACGTGTCAATTGCGCACTTCCAGGGACTATACCGCCACTGCCGAGATCATTTGGGACCGTAATTTAAAGGAGAGTTTTTTTTAATATACAAATAATTTTAATTTTATAATTTAATTTCAAAAAATGTGACTAAAGTACCTATATATATTTTCACTTTTTATGATGTATAGTGTGTCCTTCTATCTTTCTACGAGTGCCTATCAATACATTGTGTGTTGATTAATTATATACAATGATAAAACCTCACCATGCTTTCGTCGTGTTTGCCCATCTGTGACCGTTGACGCAGAGAAATCATATTCCGTGCCTCCAGCTTGGTTGAGTCAGCTGACAGGAAGTGAGTGAGGTCTGCTTTTTCTTGTCCATATCATTAAGGTCCACGATTTACTGCGAACCGCGGAACTTAACGCCACACTGCGGTTTTCATTTAAATCTCGAATACAAATTACTCAGAATGCAACGAACTCGTTTAATTTTTCTGTATATGATTTTAAAACTAACTCTAAATGCCCGATGCGCTAGCTCAGTTGGTTAAAACCATCTGCGCACCGACTGGGTGACGAACTCCTTGTGGTCGGGGTAGGCAGAAAAGCCATATTTCTCCCAGATTTACTGTGTCTATCGTAGAATCAAGGCCGAAGGGTTACGATATCCATAGTGCCGAGCCAAAGGGTTTACAACATATGGTTTCTGTATATTGGAGAAAAAAAAACTAACTTTAAAAATGGCCAACAACATTCAATGCAATTAAACTGTTTATTTCACAACCCGTGCTATTTCTGACGGATGCAAGAGCGGTGCTTCAGGCATTCCAATTTGGAAAACTACCTGGTATACGAATACTACTCTCCAAACTAGGCAGCCGGTGTAAGGTAACTATGCAATGGATATCATCCCATTGTGGAGTTCCTGGAAATGAAGAAGCTGATAAACTAGCTAAGGAAGTTGCAAATGAAGAACAACCTGAATAATCAAATCTACCAGAAAGCCACCAAAACTGGCACAAGACGATTACCATTTTATGGACAGACCAGAGCAAGTCATTATTCTGCGCCTTAGAACAGGACACAGTCGACTTCTTAGCCACATGTACACACAATTTAAAATCGGCTACTCAGCTATGTGCACATGTGGATTTGCACCTGAGACAACATATCATGTCCTCCGAGACTATCCCAAATACACCATATCAAGGCAAAACTTTTGGCCAAGAGAAACATCGGTGCAAGTCAAACTTTACGGGTCGCTGTGTGAATTACAACAGACAGTGAGACCAGTGATAGAACCACAGCTGGCAGAAGAACAGATGGGATTTAGGAGAAATAGAAGCTGCACAGATGCAATCTTCACACTTGAACAGTTAATAGAAAAGAACATTGAATACAATAAGAACTTATTTGTGGCATTCGTAGACCAGGAGAAGGCATTTGACAGAGTCGACAGACAATTATTATGGAAAATAATGGCAAGATATGGAGTAAGCGAACACCTCATCGAAGTGTGCAAAAGTTTATACAGGGATTGTAGAAGTGTAGTTAGAATAAATCAGGGAACATTTCATCCTTTCACAGTGACATCGGGAGTAAGACAGGGGTGTGTCTTATCACCCCTGCTGTTTATCACCTACATCGACAGTATATGCAAGAATGCCAAGCCCATGAATGAAGATCTTAGTAAGATCAACGAATTACTCTTTGCAGATGACCAGGCCTTGATAGCAGATACAGCCATGAAATTGCAACAACATCTAACATTCATGAATGGAGAATGTAAAACAAATAATATGAGAATCAACACTGAAAAGACAGAAGTAATGTCAATAGGAAAAAAGAAGACAGATCTAAACATAGCAATAGAATACAAAGGCATTAAACAGGCATCTGAGTTTAAATATCTGGGAACTACATTTACCGAAGATGAGAAATTGGATAAAGAAATTGACATTAGATGCAGTAAAGCAAACCAAGTATTGGGACAGCTAGCCCCCCTCTTACAGCATAAGACAATCCCAATCAGCACAAAGAGACATCTTATTCAAAGCATATTTATTCCAACTCTGTGCTACCAGTGCCAGACATGGTCACTCACAACAAACCATAAAAGAAAATTAGTAACCACGGAAATGAGATGTCTGAGAAGGGCTGTAGGAGTGACCATAAGAGATAAGATCAGGAATGAGATCATAAGAGAACAAGTCGGCACAGAACCAATTCTGGATTACATACAAAGACAGCAAGTGAAATGGTTTGCCCACTTAGAGAGAATGCCTTGTGACACCATACCATACAAAGCATACATGGAAAGAGAAGAAGGACGTAGAGCACGGGGTAGACCAAGAACAAGATGGAAGGATAACATCAGAGAAACTCTACAACAGCACGATGTGCCTATGGTCGAGGCAGCCAGAAGAGCTAGAAACAGAACCTTATATCTCCCTCGACACCCACAGCGGTAAAAGAGGAAGTGAAGAAGAAGAAGAAGAAGTGAAGTTCATACTAGAGACAACATTGTAGATATAGATAATCTATTTCAAGCGAATGAGAGAAGAAGAGGAATAAAACTGCTGTGAACATTGACCGATACAGAGAGATACTTTGGACAGAATAAATTCTATGGGGCAAATAGGCGCTGATCAACTATCGCCCGGATGACGCTGGGCGGCCTGCAATAGCGTGTTGATCCGCCACAGCCTGTATGCTTCAATTAGTGCGTGGAGCTAGGACAAAATACCAACCGCAGCTGTAAAAACCAATGCAACAGGCAGTAAAAAGAAACATGTTTTCGAGCTTTGACTCGGCTCTTGTAATGTGGGACCACGTGTCCTGAATTTTCCACTGTCCTGGACAACATCAGTGATTTAAGAAAACGGCTATCATTGATGAGGAACTCAATAAACTTGACATAGACATTGCTGGCCTGCGGGAAACACGTTTGCCAGAGGATGGGTCTATTAGAGAGAATAATTATACATTCTTCTGGAAAGGTTAAGGCCAGGAAGAAATCAGGAAGTATGGAGTAGGATTTGCAGTAAAGAA